CGAAGCCCGCCAAGTTCGCCGCCACATCAAGACCAGCGATGAAGCAGCAGAAGGCGCAGAAAGCCAGGCGGAATCTTGTGACGCAACGCCGGACGAAGCGCTGCGGTCGGACCCAACATCTTAAAAGCCTTTCGTGAGTTACTTACTAGCGTCAATTGGCGTTCCTCCTTAGGCAACCTGGATTAAAAAATCTTGCGATAGACTTGAAGTTCAAGCTAAGACGTGGTAAACCTTACAAGGATGAGACGGACTTAACAAGCTCAACCCTACAATCTCTCCGATCTGAGGCAGCTCAAATCCCACGAGCGTGCACTTGGCCTTGCTCACCATAGGCATTTTTCACACCTCAGCAAACCCATACAAGGGATGACAAGCGCCTACACTCTGACGAATGCCCGCACAGCATGACAAAAGCCCCTAGCTATAAAGGCCAAATACGCTATAACGAACACCCACGTAGGCTGCTTTCAGTCTCGGGTACCGTAACATAACAGACGCATGTATAGCCTTCGTTGACAGACAACAGATCACTTTTTCAGCAAAACGCAGAAAGAAAGAAGGGCAACACCGTAACAAAAAAAATGACCAAAAAAAGAAAAATAACACAAAAAAAAGAGTAATAACAAACATACACGAACCCCCCTACAACTTCTTTTCTTTCTCTACCCATTACCTTACCGTCCCCTCTCCCCTCCCCCCCCAGACCCTACGCCCCCCCCCCTCGGCTTTCGTAATCGCTTAAGGGTCATCAGACAACAATGACACAGCGCGGCCCTACCCTGCTCTGCACACGCCTTCTCCATATCTGATCCATTAGTCCAGGAATTATCCCAATGCGCGGACCAGATTACACCTTCTATTGGTACAAGTGCGTGGATGAGGTTCTATGAGAGAAAGGAACGAGGGGAACGAGACCAAATCAGGTGTGTTAGTCCATTTAGAAAGCAAATTGATGAGGGGACTTAGAGCATGGTAATGGCAAAGGTGGTCAAGATAATTAATCAATAATATAGCAATGTGATAACCATGGGTGTTGGTTATCTTGTTGATATGGCGAGGATAAAGATGATTATTATAATGATCATGATGATGAAGATGATAGTGAAGCAGATGAAGATCAAGAGGAGGAGGATAAAGATGATGATAATGCAGCAGCTGATGATGATAATGATGATGAAGACAGATATGGAGATGGAGATGAAGATAATGAAGATATGATAAAGATAAAGATAAAGATGAAGATGAGGATGATGAAGATAAAGATTAAGATAAATATAGATATGAAGATAAAGGTGTCAACCACGACTTTGGCAGCGGTTTTGATGATGCCAGATGAAAATGGCGAACGATAACAAATATGGTGGTGTTAGTAGCAACAATTACAGACAATAATAACAAAAACAACAATAATCACAGCCCAAGGGTAAAAATACCATCTAACGCCTCATCCCACGCTGTCACGCCTCGACCCCCGAGATGCTTTCGTGCAGGGAGCCGCAAAGCCGTCTAACAGAATCAACGTTAGGAGGCTTCATTCCAAAGAAAATGCAAGACTCACGTGTCTGCAACAACAAAAAGCTCGAGTGCACTCCCTGCACAAAGGCATGAACTGAATGAAACGGACTGATAATGCCTATATGTATAGTTTTAAAAAATCCTATCTGATATAAAACTTTGGATTACGTCTTCTTGCCTTCTATTTTTCCCCTTACCTCTCGATTTCTCGTAATTCTACCTACTTCTCTCTCTCTCTCCCTCTCTTCATCTCCACGTTCCTTTCTACTCCGTCTCACTCTCTTTTTCTCTCCCTCACCGTCTCCCTTTCCTTCTCTCCCCTCCCTCCCTCCGTCTCCCTTTCCTTCTCCCTCCCTCCGTCTCCCTTTCCTTCTCCCTCCCTCCGTCTCCTTTCCTTCTCTCACCCTCCCTCCCTCCCTTCGTCTCCCTTTCCTTCTCTCCCCCTCCCTCCCTCCCTCCGTCTCCCTTTCCTTCTTTCTCTCTCCCTCCCACCCTCCGTCTCCCTTTCTTCTTCCAAGCCGAGCTGCGACAACAGGCAAGTGACGTCACGGGGCGCTCCATCCATCACCCGAGTTCGACAGCAAAATGAGATAATGTAGCCCTTCTCCATCACTCGAGAGGAGGAGAAGGGAGGGCGAAGGAGGCTGTGTCGCGCGAGGCCAAGCGAGCCGGGACGCTGGCTGGTGCGAGCGAGGAGCCCGGGGACGCGACCTAGAGATCGTATCCTCGCACCTCAGGATACGATCTGCTTCGGACAGGGGAGGGAGGGAGTTGGGAAGGAAGGGAGAAGGGAGGGAGGAGGGAGGGAGGTGAGAGAGAGGGAGGGAGGGAGGTGAGAGAGGGAGGGAGGGAGGTGAGAGAGGGAGGGAGGGAGGGAGGGAGGGAGGAGAGAGGGAGGGGGAGGGAGAGAGTGGAAAATAAAAAAAACAATCACGAATCAAAGCAATGGCAAAACTCGAGATAGAGAGAGGGAAAAAGGGAGAGAGAGGAGAGGAAGGAAAAGGAGAAGGGAGGAAGGAGAGGTGAGAAAGAGAGAAG